AAACAGTGACAGACTTTAATCGCTGGGCTCCAAAATCACTGCAGATGGTGACTACAGCCATGAAATTAAAAGATGCTTGCTCCTTGGATGAAAAGCTATGGTCAACCTAGAGAGCATGTTAAAAAGCAGAGACATTACTTTGCTGACAAAGGTCCGTATATCCATATGTATGGATATGAGGGTTGGACCATAAAGAAAGCTAAGTGCTGAAGAATTAATGCTTTTGAACTGTGATGTAGCAGAAGACTCTTGAGTCCCTTGGGCTGCAAAGTCAATTGTAAAGGAAATCAGTCCTGAATATTCATTGGAAGGGCTGCTGCTGAAGCAGAAGCTCCAATACTTTAGCTACCTGATGAGAGGAACTGACTCATTTGAAAAGACCCTGATTCTGGGAAAGATTGAAGGCAGGAGAAGGGGACGACAGAGGATGAGATGGTTGGATGGTACCACCTACTTGATGGACATGAGTTTGAACAAGCTCCGGGAGTTGGTGATGGACAATATGCTCCAGTCCATGGGGTCACAAAGAGTTGGACATGACTGAGCAACTGAACTGAATTGAAATGTGTTGTTACATTATGCATCCCTTCCCTAAAGGTATACCAGTATACTCTTTCGACGAACTGAAAAAAAAAAAAAAATGAAAGCCCCCTCCACATACAATATATGTAAATACATTTAAACATATGTGCAGATGAAGGCAATCAAAATGCACAAACTTAGTTATAAAATAAACAGGTACTATGGATGTACTGTACAACAAGCTAGTTAAAACTGCTGTACATTACATATGAATGCTTTATAAAAACAGCAAATCTTATGACTTCTCATCATGAGGAAAAATACTTTTTTTCCTATTTCTTTACTGCTGTATCTATATGAGATAATAGATATTCACTAAACCTATTGGGGTACTCATTTTGTGATGTATGTAAATCAGACCATCATGCTCTACATATAACATTTGGTTTAAAAAAACTGAAAATAAAGCTACCATAGGATTCTGCAATCCTACTCCTGGGCATATATTTGGAGAAAAACATGATCTGAAAAAATGCATGCACCCCAGTGTTCACTGCAGCAGTGCTTACAATAGCCAAGACATGGAAGCAATGGACAGAGGCCTGGATAAAGAAGATGTGGTACATATATACAAAGGAATATTACTCAGCCGCTAGAAGGAATGAAATAATCCCATTTGCAGCAACATGGGCGGACCTAGAGAGTGTCATACTGAGTGAAGTTAAGTCAGAGAAGGAGAAGTATCATAGGACATCCCTGATGTGTGGAATCTAAAGAGAAATGATACAAACAGTAAGACTCACAGACTTAGGAAACAAACTTATGGTTGGAGAGGGTGGGGGAAGGGTGAAGGGAAGACACAGCTTTGGAGTTTGGGATGGACATGTACACTCTGCTATATTTAAAATGGACAACTAACAAGGACCTATGGTACAGCACATGGAACTCTGCTCAATGTTATGTGCCAGCCTGGAGGGGGAGGGGGATTGGGGGAGAATGGATACATGTATATGTATGGCTGACTTCACCTGATACTTTCACTGTTCACCTGACACTATCACAACATTGTGAATCAGCTAAACCCCAATACAAAAAAGAATTTTTTTAAACTTATATACAGTGCTATCAGTTCAGTTCAGTCGCTCAGTTGTGTCTGACTCTTTGTGACCCCATGGACTGCAGCACACCAGGCCTCCCTGTCCATCACCAACTCCCGGAGCTTGTTCAAACTCATGTCCATCGAGTCGGTGATGCTATCCAACCATCTCATCCTCTATCATCCCCATCTCCTCCTGCCTTCAATCTTTCCCAGCATCAGGGTCTTTTCCAATGAGTCGCTTCTTTGCATCAGGTGGCCAAAGTATTGGAGTTTCAGCTTCAGCATCAGTCCTTCCAATGAANTCCATTGTTCTAAGCCTGGTTCTAACTGTTGCTTCTTGACTTGCATACAGATTTCTCAGGAGGCAGGTCAGGTGGTCTGGTATTCCCATCTCTTGAAGAATTGTCCACAGTTTGTTGTGATCCACAGAATCAAAGGCTTTGGCATAGTCAATAAAGCAGAAGTATATGTTTTTCTGAAATTCTCTTGCTTTTTCTATGATCCAATGGATGTTGGCAATTTGATATCTGATTCCTCTGCCTTTTCTAAATCCAGGTTGAACATCTGGAAGTTCTCGGTTCATGGACTGTTGAAGCCTCGCTTGGAGAATTTTGAGCATTACTTTGCTAGCATATGAGATGAGAACAATTGTGTGATAGTTTGAACATTCTTTCCCATTGGCTTTCTTTGGAATTGGAATGAAAACTGATCTTTTCCAGTCCTGTGGCCACTGCTGATTTTTCCAAATTTGCTGGCATATTGAGTGCAGCACTTTCACAGCATTTTCATATACAGTGCTATATGTCACTAATATCTCAGTAAAACTGGTAGGGGTGATGTTATGTAGAAAAATGTCCCTTGAAGAATTCTTTTTAACAGGAACAAACTGTAACAATTAAAAAATCTAAAAGAGGCTTTGTTAAATATATGTTATTACACCAGGGATGTAAGTGACTGTAAATAATAATTGTGTGAATATTTCTTATCATAAAAAGATATTCATAGTATATTAAGTGGAAGAAGCAAGTTTTAGGAAAATATATGTGATACTTCTGTGTATTTCTACATTGGAGCACAAGTTTATACATGTGTGCACAGAAAAAAAAATCTAAAAGCAGATAAAGCAAAATGTAAACAGTGAATACCTCTGCATGTTTGAATTTCAAGTGATTTCATGTTTGAATTTCAAGCACATTATTTTTTCTTTGAGACATTTTTATTTTTAATATTTATTTTCTTAGGTGAACATGTATTAACCATGTGACAATTTTTATAGAACACAATTTGCTGATGTGAAAGACAGAAATGGTGACATTGTTAACCTATATTATTTGATTCCTGATGTAGTTGAATTATCCCCAGTATTTCTTTTTTCTTTTATGATTTGTAAGCTCACAGGTTTAATAAATTTATTATTTTAGTTTTTTCCTTTCTTGTAGAATTTAGAAGTTTTTGTATAGTTAAATTAATAAACTTGGTTTCTTATTTAAAAATACATATATATATATATATATATATATGTATACATGCACTCTTGTAATATGAATACTGAGTGAGTGAAGAAAGAATGATTAAAAGAAATTCTGAGTAAAAAGCAAACCATCTGGGAAACGCCTGAAGAAAAATGAGGACATGAGCTTAGCCTTGGAGCATGGTTAGACCTTAAGTGAATGGAGAGGAAAGAAAAACTACCAATCACAGAAATGATGGGTGAGAAAAATATGAAAACAGGAATACATGCAACATGATTGAGAATAAGCAGAACAGGCTGGTTGAAATAGAGAAATCTACAGCAAGGCTGGCAGGTATGTTGAAAAGGAGATGGAGAATGTTGACTATCAGAGATATTGGACTTTATTCTGTAAGTAATTAAAAGTTTTGAGCAATCCAGCAATGTGAGCAGTGCCATTTTGAGAATCATTTGCCAGGGTCTGAAGGATAAATTGAAGGGGAGAAAAGAGGCAGAAAGAACAACTACTTAAGCCAAAGAAACCTCTTGTCAACGCCTCAGCTAACAAAATATTTCAAGACTTTATGACACACACTGTACTTGCCTATGTGAATACCATGCCCACTCACCACCTAATGCATTTATATGCAGGCCTCACAAGCAATCCCTATAACATTTACACAAAGTTTCTACCGTAAAGTTAAGAGTCATCTTGGGGTTTCCAGTAAGATAATCAATTTCTTTACAACTACCAAAACTCGACAGATAATCACGGTGACTTTAACAACTCTGTGAGAAACAAATATATTTGGCCTTAATTTTTCAGCTGCTAGGGAGTGAAATGCAGCTAAATGGACCATGGAAATAATAATAGTACATTTCCAAGGGCTTTCTTTTCAACACAGAGTAAAAGATTTGTTTCAAAACAAATGTGTGTATTCCATCCTAGAAACGTGAATTATCTTTATACTTATGCTTTATACTTGCATATAACCTTTTTAAAAAATTGATGTATAGTTGATTTACAATGTTGTGTTAGCTGCAGGTGTATAGTTAAGTAATTCAGTCATATACATATTTGTCATATTCTTTTCCATCATAGGTTATTACAATATATAACCTTATATAATACTCAAACGTAATCTTTATGCTTTAGTTCATAAACTAAAGCAGAGATTATGGAAGCACAGTGATCACAAACACTAAACAATCCCCCCCCCCAAAAAAAAGCCATCAGGGAAAAGAAAAAAAAGAAAAAACATGACTTGCAATATGAAAGACTTGGCTCTCAAATTTTCAAAAATGTTCCCAGTGTGAGACATCTAACAAATCTGCATACTGAAAAACAGTATTGCTAAACTTTTGGAATGATGACAACCCATCATCTTGTATGGAAATATATCTATCTGTTCTACTAAAAGATTTGAACTGCTAGCATTTTACAAATTTACTTAAAATCACCTTTTTAAAAAAATAATTTCCAAATACAAAAATAAAAACTAGAAATTACTCCTGAAAATTATTAAATGTGTAAGAGTAACGACTCAAAGTGTGGCTACTCTTGTGAAATAGCTGGTACAATCTGCAATATTATGCACATTTTACCAACTAATGTCAGAAAGCATGTGGGGCTATCTATTGTAAACTTTTTCTTGATGTCTCTTCTATACAGCAGGACATGGAGGTGAAGCACTGCAAGAGAACTGGACTTCATGAACTTCATTTACGAGCTCAAACTCCTGCACAAGAGAATCAGAAGTAACCAAACAATGTCTTTCCTTCAAAAAATTAACTTTCTGTTAACTAATGATTACAGCAGCAGTTATTAGATCTCAGTATGGAGTAGGCATTACTCTAGACAATTTACTATCTCATTTAGTCCTTACACTACCCTACAAGGCAGGAAATGTTACAATCCCCTTTTAAGAGGTTAAATCTGTATTTTACAGATGAAGGAACTGAGGCACCAAGGTTGGTGGAGCTGGGATTTACAGTCATGGAATCTCAATCTACGATCCATCTCTAGTACAACACTGTTATGACAGCAATTCCTGGATACCACCATCCATCTCTATCACAACACTTTTTTTTTTAATCACAACACTTTTATAACAGCAATTCCAGGACACCATATAAAAACAGATGTCATAAAACTGCAGGGTTTTTTCCCCTTATATTTTTTGGCTTANCACCCTTATGGCAGAAAGCGAAGAAGAACTAAAGAGCCTCTTGATGAAAGTGAAAGAGGAGAGTGAAAAAGTTGGCTTAAAACTCAACATTCAGAAAACTAAGATCATGGCATCTGGTCCCATCACTTCATGGCAAATAGATGGGCAAACAGAGGAAACAGTAGCTGACTTTACTTTGGGGGGCTCCAAAATCACTGCAGATGATGACTGCAGCCATGAAATTAAAAGATGCTTGCTACCTGGAAGAAAAGTTATGACCAACATAGACAGCATATTAAAAAGCAGAGACATTATTTTGCCAACAAAGGTCTGTCTAATCAAAGCTATGGTTTTTCCAGTAGTCATGTATGGATGTAAGAGCTGGACTATAAAGAAAGCTGAGCGTCGAACTGTGGTGTTGGAGAAGACTCTTGAGAGTCCCTTGGATAGCAAGGAGATCCAGCCAGTTCATCCTAAAGGAAATCAGTCCTGATATTCACTGGAAGGACTGATGCTGAAGCTGAAACTCCAATACTGTGGCCACTTGATGTGAAGAACTGACTCATTTGAAAAGACCCTGATGCTGAGAAAAGACTGAAGGTGAGAGAAGGGGACAACAGAGGATGAGGTGATTGGATAGCATCAGTGACTCTGTGGACATGAGTTTGAGTAAACTTCTGGAGTTGGTGATGGACAGGGAGGCCTGGTGTGCTGCAGTCCATGGGGTTGCAAGGAGTCGGATACCACTGAGCAACTGAACTGAAAGTAATGGTTGATCTAAATATAAAACACAAGACAAGGAAAACATATGAAAGGAAACAGAGCTAATAAGTTTTAAAAGGCTACATATACCTTGATGTTTTTCTTAAAGTCAGATGGAAAGGAAATGGAGTAACAGTACTTATCTCAATCACTAAACTGATTTTCAAAACAATAAAAACTATAACTGTCCAGCAAGAGCTATTGCTATATATACTAGGAACAAGAACAAGCTACAACGAAAATAAAAGGCAGTTTCGTATTTAGACAAAAAGCTGGCAAAGGAGTTTCTTCTCCAGTATTTATCTTTCATCATCAATTTTTGAGAAAATAATTTCCATTGCTCTGAGATAAGAATGACTGATTCTTCATGTGATAAGCATTTGACTTCTTCTGTTGCTTTCTTTTCCTTACAAGACTTCCAAATAATGTTGACAGATGAAACACGAATATGGCTTCTAAGTGTGGAAGAATCTTATCCAGAGAGATCAAGCAGGGGGAAATCGAGGGCTGGGGATCAGAAATGGGATTTACCATAAAAAGGCCTGAGAGATAATCACAGATGCCATAAGGAAATGGAAAACAGTCCCGAAAGAGGGGAAGTGGAATAGGAATAAAAGAGAACGCGAGTCATTTCTGATTAGGGCTGGAGGAAAGGGTTTGCGAGAGGCAGGAAAGAAAGGTTCCTCAGGACTCCTTTCAGATGAGTTTTAGCAGGCCAGGGCTGGGAGAATGGGCAAAGCGGAGCTTACCGCGAAGAGAAGGATGCAAAATGCAGAGGCGTCAGCTCAAGAAAAACAAGGAAGGCAACCGCAGAGGGGCCGGAGCCGAGTGAGGGCAGACGACTGACGCCGGGAGGACGGGTCTGGCCTGGGGAGGGCGGAGCCGGAGGGCGGACTCACAAGACGCCGGGCCGAGGGACTGGGATCCCGGAGACGGGGGGCGGGGGCGGTGGGCCAGGGGGCCGACCTGTAGAGGGCGGGAGACGGCTAAGTACCGGGCGGGGTCGTGAAGGACCCTGGACGGCGCGTCGCGGAGGGTGGGCGCGGGGTTAAGGCCGACTGGCTGCCTCGGTCCCCACCTGACGCGCGAACGCCTACAGTCCCCACCGGGCGCGCGCAGCATGGGACTGGGATCCCGGAGACGGGGGGCGGGGGCGGGGGGCCAGGGGGCCGACCTGTAGAGGGCGGGAGACGGCTAAGTACCGGGCGGGGTCGTGAAGGACCCTGGACGGCGTGTCGCGGAGGGTGGGCGCGGGGTTAAGGCCGACTGGCTGCCTCGGTCCCCACCTGACGCGCGAACGCCTACAGTCCCCACCGGGCGCGCGCAGCATCGCACTCCTTACCTAGCGCGCCGACGATCCCGGCCCCACCTGGCGCTCAGAAGCCCTCAGCCCGCACCTGACGGCGGAGCGTCAGGCTTTATTGCCGGAAGCTGCCCGCCGCCTACCCGGGAGCGCTACGGGAAAGCCCCGCCCCCGGCCGCGCTGATTGGCCGGCGAGGCTCCTCGAGGCCGTGTTGCTACCCTGATCCAAGAGTAGGCAGCGCGCGCGTGCGCAGTGGGCGTCGCCTGCCCTAACACAGAGCTGCTGACTGCCAGTTCTCAGTGGGTGCGGCCCGGGCCGGAGCGTACCGGCGCTGCGGGGTCCTAGGTACCCTAAAGGGTGTGGGTACCTGGGTCCTGACTGCCGTGTGGACTGCAGATCCGGGCACCCCCACCTGCTCAACTTTCCAACCCAACCGCTGCCCAGAAACCATCTGAAATTCCTGATTGTAGCTTCACTTGACGCCCAACTACCCTGTGCACCTAATTGCCTTGTATATTGAGTTTAATATTAGTATATTAAGATCGCACTGAATAGTCACTGAAAGTACTGATGCGAAGAACTGACTCATTTAAAAAGACCCTGATGCTGGGAAAGATTGGGGGCAGGAGGAGAAGGGGGCAACTGAGAAGGAGATGGTTGGATGGCATCAGCTATTCAATGGACATGAGTTTGAACAAGCTCCCAGAGATAGTGAAGGACAGGGAAGCCTGGCGTGCTGCAGTCTATGGGGTTGCAAAGAGTCGACAGGATGTAGTGACTGAGCAAGGACAGCAACTACTGAGTTTAAGGCCCAAGTCCTTTGTGTTTATAAACGGTTTAGAGTACTGCTCGTTTTTTGGAGGTGGAAGTGTCAGCCTGTGGGGTTTTCCCAGTAAGGAGACAAGAATGTGGGGTACTGGGGGCAGGGGAGGAGCAGGGCCCTGGTTGTGACCAGTCTCCCCCATCTGTGGAGCAGGAACGGAGGCCGGAGGCTGGAGGCTGGGGACTGACTGAGGCCAGAACCTCTCTCTGCCTCACTTTCTCTACAAGTAAAATGGAGCTGGTAGAGGCACTTACCTCACAGGTCTTGATAAAAATTGAGTTAACATGCTCAAAACATTCAGGACAGTGCCTAGTGTACAGTAAGCAGTATGATACATGCTCCTTGTGGCCATGTTTTCACTTATCTTTGATAAATACTGAGGGTGGACTGTGCTGGGGCATGTGTATGCAGGTAAACATATCTGCAAGTGGAGTTAGAGAAAGCCTTGCTGCTCTAAGATAATGTGTGTATCCTCTGATTGTGAACCAGGACCTTGCTTCAAAGATACACTTAAAGATACACTATTGTTTCTTCTGACAGTACCTCTCTTGTCTCTGCAACCACTCCCTTCCCTAATTAACAGCTACTTGAGCCTGTTGGAACCCGGAGAAGGTCATGGAGGCTGAATGCAGTTCATTTCCAAGGATTCTGTGCCCAGGAGCCTCATGGGGTCCTGATTGGTATCAAGGCATGTACAATAATGCTCATAGTGGTTTATTGGTTGGAACAACCTAGAAACCTGTCTGCAAGGAAGTGGACTAATGGACAGGAATATTCAAGCCATGGTCCACTACCCAGTAGAAGAGAATGAGCCTCTGATACATGTGACAATGCGAATGCTTATTAGGAATAGTATGTTAGTGAAGGAATGCAAACATGGAAGTGTATGCCATGTGACTCCATTCATGTGAAATTCTAGAACAGACAGAGCTAGCATGGTGATAGAATGACCTGTGGTGGTTTTGTGGTGCCAGAGGAGGGACAGGGCAACTTTCTGGGGTGGTCGGGAATGAGAATATGAATGTGTTAAATATCATGGAGCATATCTCTGAAGTATGTTAAACCTCAATAAACCAATACATATTTTTCATTGGCAGAAACATTTCTATCTGACTTTTCCTGGTCAAATTTTATGCAACATGTTGAATTTTAAAAATCAAACAACTAGCAAATATGTTGAGTGCTTACCCACATGCAGAATCATATTAAGAGTTGTGGGAAGTGCAGAGACACATAGAAACAACTAGGAGTTTGTGCTCTATAATTGAGGCAGGAAATATATGTAACAACAATTGAGGCAGGAAATACATGTTAAGAGAGCAGCCAAAAATTTAAATAAAAATTCAAAAGAACCCAAGGAAGTGCCAAAACAGTCGCACAAATGACTAGTAAACTTTGATGAGGGGGTCATAGATGCAGAGAAATCACTTTAGCCTGAGCAGTCAAAGAAGATACTAAAATACACTTTGGCAGGTGGGAAGGGAAAGCTTAGTCTCCTAACTTAGTAGGGAATCTGACCAGGCACATGTTTTTGGCAACATCTCTTAGATATAGTACCAGATAGCAGGTACTCCAATCTAAAAACAAAAAAGTGCTAGGTCTCTAAGTCTCTCCTAGTCCTGGGATCTTGAAATTCCATCCACAAGTTCAAGGGAGCATCTGTCCACACAATCTTGTGTCTCAAGGCTCACACCAACCTTTTCCTTATACGGTGATGACGATGGCTCTGATCATGACAATGGAGATGTGAGTGACTGACCTTTACCTACTGCTCACTCTACACTAGGCTCTGTGCCAAATGCTCTGCTTGCTTTAAGTCCAAGATTACCCTAGAAGGTCAGTCCTATGTTACTGTGTCTTGAAGATGAAGCCCTGAGGCTTCCAGAAAGCTCAGCAACCTAGTTGGACCCCCACAAGTAGGCAGATGTGACTCCAGGGAATGACCTGGTTAGTCTGACACCATCACTGTGTGTCCAGCCTCCCTAGGAGGCACCCCACTGGGCATGGGCTCCTTCCCCTAGTCCTCCAGTGCTTGTAGTCTTTACCAGTCACTAGAAAACCACAAAGGCTTCCCAGATAGCTCAGTGGTGAAGAATCCTCCTGGCCAATGCAGGAGACTGGGGTTCGATCCCTAGGTCGAGAAGATCCCCAGGAGTAGGAAATGGCAACCTACTCCAGTATTCTTGCCTGGAGAATCCCATGGACAGAGGAGCCTGGTGGGCTACAGTCCATGGGGTTACAAAGAATTGAACAAGATTAGCAGCTACACAAAAAAAGACAACCACAGTTTCTTGTAAATTCTTTCAGTCACTTAAATCCCAGCGCTGCCCTGCCCCCAGCTTTCCAGGAAGACTGTAAGCTCTCTGAAGGCAGCGACTAGGGTCTGATACTTTACAGAGCCCTGAAAGCCAAATTCTCCTTGGAGAAGGCACAGAGAGGCTAGCTACCCATCCAGCCAACGCCACTGGATCTCACAACATGAGCACCAGGAACAAGTCCACCTTCAGAGTCACCGGCGTCTGCATGGTTGGGGCTTCTCTGATGGCTCAGATGATAAAGACTCTGCCTGCCAATGCATGAGACCCGGGTTTGATCCCTGGGTCAGGAAGATCCTCTGGAGAAGGGAATGGCGACCCATTCCGGTATTTGTGCCTGGAGAGTTCCATGGACAGAGGAGCCTGGCGGGCTAAAGTCCATAGTGTCGCAAAGAGTCAGACACGACGGAGTGATTAACACTTTCACTTTCTGCATGGTTAGTTCCATACTAGCATGTGCTTCTTTTATGTCTGTGTTGCTTTATATGAGATCCAAGCCATAGATTAAACTTCCGTAAATTGTTAGAACCCAGAGAGAACTGTGCATGGAGCCTAATCTTGTAGATAAGGACACACTTTCATGACTCAGTTGGTCCACCAGAGCAGCAGAGATGGGTCCAACCTCCCACTGCAAACATGGCAGATGCATTTCTGTGTCTTCTATCCTCCAAGCCTGGAATTCTTGATCCTTCTCCCTACATCCATCGAATGGGAGACCACCGTGTGTTGGGTGCAGTTGGTAAGGTGTCTGCAGCCTTTTATGAATAGCTCTGCTGAGCGGCCCTCTGACTGGCCCAGACTTCACCTATGGTCACCCTTGTCTCCTGTCCCTCGGCTGAGTAGGGAGACACCTGACTGTATCCCCTTGGGAGGAGCACAGAGGCACAGCCTCCGGAAGATGAGCAAAGTCTACTAAGGGGATCCTTCTTTGTGAGGAAATGCATGAGCAGAGCCTCTCTTGTCCAACGATGAGAATTTTCTGAGTTTCTGGTCAAGTCACTAACTGCACAAATGGAGGCAAAATGCCCGAGACGCCCTGTCACCCGGGCTACAGTAAAAACCTAATAAATGAAAACAGCAACATTGCCTGCTAAGTGTTAGTTGCTCAGTCGTGCCTGACTCTTTGTGCCCCCATGACTGCAGCCCACCAGGCTCCTCTGTCCATGAGATTTTCCAGGCAAGAATACTGCAGTGGGTTGCCATTTCTTTCTCTAGGGGATCTTCCCAACTCAGGAATCGAACCCGGGTCTCATGCACTGCAGGCAGATTCTTTATCAACTGAGCTACAAGGGAAGCCGTTCAATTCAGTTCAGTTCGGTTCAGTCGCTCAATCGTGTCCGACTCTTTGCGACGCCATGAATCGCAGCACGCCAGGCCTCCTTGTCCATCACCAACTCCTGGAGCTTACTCAAACATATGTCCATCG